CTCCCACAACTCTTGGTTTTCGTTGCACTGGGGTCAGGAGCTAGGAGTGATCCACTGATATCACTGCATCTATGGTCAGTGTGTCGTGCACTATAGACATTCACGGAATCTGGCTCTCATTGCTGATGATAAGCTACCAACACATTTATGCATATCTATGTAAATGCTATCTGTATACATCAGCTTGTATTTAAATGTAAAGTTGTATTAATTTGTCCTGGCCAAACCCACACTGACCATTTGATTATTAAGACAAAGTCTGGAATGCCTCTGATTATGAACATTGGAACTGAAAACATCTCCATCTAGCATGAGCCAAATAATCTTCAAGCCTGAACATGTTCTGTCATTTTATAACTTGAGGCCATTGATATATTTAGTGGGAAAGGCAGTCTGCTCTGCACCTGAGAAAAATCTTTTCTCTGTGTAGGTGTTTAATTGTAAGAAAGGAAATAAGTCCTAGAATCTTTCTATTCAGAAAACTATGGTACAAAAAAATCAGGCAGGGTGAATACATAGCAGTTATTGTGTAGCGCTCAGCAATCATTGAGAAAAACCAATGAATCTTCTGTTGTAGTAAGAAAAGATCCACATGTGTGTTGGAGGGGAGTTTAGAAATAAAAATGTTCAACTTGACAGATGAGTGTTCTTTTAGCACTAAATGGTCTTGAAAATTTTTGTTTCTTTGTTTTACAGGGTAATAGCTAATTCATGAAATAATTTCCCAAAATATAAAAGTATGGGCTGCACTTAATACAGAGATGCATTGAGAATGTAGGGGGAAATAAACACATATATTTTCATATATTTTCATTCATTTTTGTCTTATTTTGATGTTTTTTATTAACTGTTTTTTTCCCCATAAATCATAAGGCCCCTTCCACAAAGGAGGTCCAATTGGGTCCACCTGTCAGTTTTTCAGGCGGACTCGATCGGACGCCCAATGCTACTCTATGGAGAGTGGGTCTAAACGGACTGTAATCCATTTACACCCAGTTACCCCTGGCTCCGGCCAGGTCCGGAAAAACAAATGGAACAGTGTTCACTTTTGACGGACCTGATCGTGCAGGATCTGGGGTAATTTGATGTAAATGGAGACATGTTCATTCACATCAGATTCCCTATAGATCAACATGGGGTCATTTAATTTTTTCCCTCCATCACAAGGTGGAGGAAAAAAACTGGATAGACACAACAGATCAGCGTGTGCAAAAGGGGCCTAACAGAGCTGGTAAGAGAAAAAAAAAATAATATATATATTTATATACATACACTGGATTTACACCATACAAAGCCTGAGCCACTGCCAACAGTCTTGATCTGCTCGTCGGTCCTAGCCCACTCCCTTGCCCAGTGCTTTCTCCTTAAGACAGAAAACCCAAAGGAAAATCATTTACATTCTTACGTACATATATAAGAAAAAAAAAGCAGATAAGTTTTAAAATCCTAATTGTTTGCCACTAGTAAAAAATTTTAAATGATGAATATTTTTATTGTCAAACAGCGAAGTGGAATCACTCCAGTAAGCAATGAAAAGGTTGCTAATCAAAAACCACTCCAGCAATGATGCATTCAAGGGACAACAAAGTCACTTACAATTAAAGGGGACAAACCTGCTGCAATTTATTCCCCACAGGGAATAATAGTGGGAAAGGTATTATAATTTGAAGGTGCATCTAATAAGGTGGTAATGCATCCATAAAGCATTAATTAAATTTTCCACTGTACCTCTGTGTGGAATGGCTGTGCTAGTCCGATTTAATTGGCCTCACACATCTATTTTTTATGTGTATTGCTATTCTGTCATCATTTTCCATTTGGAAGTTATTTGGACTCTTGGATCTCAGGTTAAATCAGCTTTAGTTTGTAGTGGAAATATTCTCTTAAAACATCCTGGGCAACATAAACCCAAACTACAGTTATGTTATAAAGTAAGTCCACATGTAGGGAACAATGCTGAGAATAAAACTATACATTGATGTTAGTATTTAGGAATAAGTAGAAACCAAAATGCCTACTTTAGAACTATTTTGTGTGTCCTCCTTTTTAAAACGTTCCTTATATCCACATTTTTGCTTATAAATTTATAGCTTCTTTTACATAAACTCATACTACAAAAACTTTTTCCTTATGGCACATAAACTGACTAGCACTAGTATACTGTAGTGACATAATGTATTGTAACAAATAGATAAGTTATACAAATATATGACATAATGGGACCAGGAACACAAATTACTGTGAATGTATATGTACTCCCTCTTCGGAGAGCATTGCATTAGGAAGAATAGGCACATGTGAGTTTACTTAACCTGTACAAAGAGGGTCAAATGTTATAGGTGGGGTCAGTGGGGTTGATCGAGGATAGAGGGATTTTTTATGTGGGAGTATATGGAAAGCCAATGAAAATCAAACTTTATTTAAAAAACAGCATAGTATAAGGAGACATAATCCTAAAATGGTGTACACAAGCCTCAAAAGGGGACAAACAGACATGTTCTTAATGCTTGTTGAGTACTCCACTGATGTCTCAAGAGGTGTATTAAACCTAATATCTCATTAATATATCTAAAGCTGGCCAAATTTTCGTTGCTGACAAGAACCCTCTTTCGATCCTAGCTCAAATAGCCCATCAAGCACAGACCAATGTCAAATTAGATAATCGTTTGTTAGCAATACTATTTCACCGATTTTCATTTGCGCATGTGCAGTGTTTTCACTGTGATTTTTTTGTATGAAAATGCCACTAATCCATCGATTTTCGCACGATTTGAAAAAAGTTTTCCAGCCTGACCGATCGTGGAAATTCAGCCAGGAGTACAGTAATTAAAATCATTAGTGTCCCATCAACTGATCAATTATCGTTCGAAAGACCATTCGTGGACCATTTCAGATGAAAATAAATAGGTGCATGGGCACCTTTACATTGAACTGTGAATAGCAGGATTCCAGGTGGTATTCAGCACATGTCAAATAGCCTAAGGCAGCTGTATGCAGTTTGGAACAAATGGCTCTATGCTGAAGGGGTGAAAAGCAATGATTTGCATGACTCTTCTGTAGTGTGTGATGGAATAAGATCGGTGAATACCTATGTTTTAAGAAGGCTTGACTGTGCTACACACTTATTAGAGTGAGGGCTTTTTGATCACTGTATTCCTTCTCACCATAACCTGTATGGTTATACTGTCTAGCTGGTCCTCATTTAAAAAAAAGGTACGTGATGGACATAAGTTTGGCAAAATCTGGGCTGGTACATAAAAATGTCTACAAAATTATTCAACAGAAAACCAAGTACATTTTTCATGTAATAGCATGTTTATGTCAAGTGAATATTTATGATCGCCCATGCAGCATTAACAAAACAAAATGCCTTGCGTGCTTTAACAAATTTAATTTCTCACCTCTCTGTATCATTCAGTAAATCCGTGCATTTCAATTTCAAAACTGCACTCTTCTTTGCACTGCTTTATTATGAACCTGAAGGACTTCTCCACTCAAAATCAACATTTTAGCTTGCTGTGTAGGTGAAACTTGGCACTCCCAAAAAATAAATCAAGTCTTTTTAGAGCATACTTCTGCAGATTTAGCATGGTGTTGGCTGTGAACAGCATGCAGACACCTTCTACTACCCAGTTCCTTGTTTATAGGGTCAACCATGATGACAGGAGGTACATACAAGCTCAAAAGCTTTGTAGGATAGAATTGCAACAGCTAAGTGAAATGTAACTGCACTCCATATTACATATTGAAAATCGAATCTGAGTGGGGAAACCATGCCAAAACCTGAAGTAATATATACTGTATATACAGTGTGTGTGTGTGTGTGTATATGTATGTGTATGTGTGTAATGTATATATAATGTGTATATATATTCACAGGTAAATAATTTACTATATAGTACTGCTAATCAACTTCCTTGTTGTACCAATGCAATGGCACCATTACATACTTGTACTTAGATGTCTTTATCTAATTCACATAGTTTTTCCTCTGTAGTGGTTAGTTTTTAAAGGTGTAAAGTATAAAGAGTTATGCCCGGTGTACAGGTCCTCTGTACTGCATAAGATAAGCAGCATGCTGCCAGTAACTTAATCTAAGAACACAAGTAGACATAGATAAAACACAATAATTCAAGACATTTTGCAATCATTCCAGTCACCAATGTACAACCTTCATACAGTCAAATGCTTAAAACTGTACAGAGTCCTCACATTTCCTACTCAGGTGCGCTCATCAAAAATCATCTTAAAAAAATAAAATTGGTGTTTTGGAATTCTTAACATTTATCCCTTTAGATAGTGAAGGGCATATGCAAGGAATTTTCCTTCTCGAGGACGAGATTTTTTTTCCCCTTACACATTTACTGCTAGAGAGGACTGCAAAGCCATGATGTCACAACATCCTGTTTCTAGCTTATCGAGGTGCATAAACAGGGTCAGTTTTAGAGGTATGTGCATAACTGGCCCTCACATAACAATACAGCGCATATAGTGACCATCAAGAATGTCAATTGCTCTAGCCAAATTATACATTTTCTACCCTCCTTCTAGTGCTCCAGTCTCTAAGGAGAGTTGAACTTCCCTTAGTAGCACTTCCATCCACTGGTGGGCAAAGGCGGATGAGGCAGCACTGGGCTTGTTCTTGCTTTAGAGTGCAAGACTCCCGCCTGCTCTTAATCTTCACTGCCTTTCCTACAATTTCTTCCACCGTCAGATTATCCATTGCTTGAGGGGAAGAACAGTACTGTTCAGGACAGGGAGAAGGCAGATGTAGAAGAGGGGATACCGAGATGCTAATGTACCACACCCGATATCTGTCACAGCCTGCAGAAAAATGAAAGACATAATCAGTCTAGCTCTATAATACAATATGTACAATAGGGTAACTTTCCTATAATCTACTTAAAAATGTGTTTTTTATTTTTGTCTGTGTTTTTGTTAGAGCATTTCCCTCACTCCATACTGGGAGCTGGTAAACACAAATACTTTAGACAAGTCACTCACTCAGCAGATTTCCAAAAGTGGCCTGGATGAGAGAGGCGTCTGTTCCGCTTTGGCAGTTTTTCCAGCATCTCCATCAATTTGGTAAAAGTTGGTCTTTCCTCTTGCTCATAGGCCCAGCAGAAAAGTAGAATGTCCTAACAAAGGAGAGCACAATATGTTGAACAGAAACACAGACTGAAGATGCTCTGGCATAAAGGAATTAACTTAAAGTATAAAAGTATAACTAAAGCCAAAATGTTGTTTTGGGTAGAGTAGAGAATGGTGAAAACCCCTGTCAGTTTTTTAGCATGTATCATTTTGGCGATATTTCCTTTCACTTCCTGTCCTGTGGAGACAAATGGAAGTCAATGAAAGCTTCACCAATGTAAGAGAAATCCCTTTTAGGACACTTGTTACTGAAACAAGAGTCCCCATTGGAAGAATCCCTCTCTATTCCTGTCCTATTGGCAGCTCAGATTTTGATTTCTTTCTCACTTTCAGCATTGATGGTGGTCATCAACATCACCAGTTTTATTTCACTTTATTAAATAAAGACTAATGCATTTTATCACCATGATGTATAACTCTACATGTCATGTTGACATTCTGCAAAACATTCTGTTCTGCACAATATATTGTATATGTGTTCAGCCACACATTTGTGATGGTTTTACAGTCATCATTTCTTAACAAATGACTTGAGAGATGGGTATCATCAGAATCTGTCCAAGTTCAAGATGCATCTGGAAGACCTAACCAACATGACTAGGAAGTGCTGGGGATCTGATTTCTTTATATTGATCTTTGCAATGCAGGGATTTTTCTGCTCAATGCACCACATTTCAGTGTGAGACCACCAAGGGAACTTTCCAAGTTTATTTTTAGGCTTTAAAGCGAACTTTGTCTGTGTAGGAAAAAGCAACAGACTTACATTATTTGTCCTCGCCAGCAGTTTTTATTTACCTTCCTTCTTTTTTTCAACACTCTGTTCAGCCACCAGCTTTAAAGAAAAGTCTTGTGCATCAGAGTCATAGCCTACATCGTGCTATGGACTGATTGATCCACATGCAATGAGTGACATGGACCTTTAAGAACCAGGTACCATCAGCTGCCTGCACTAAACCGAGTGCTGGAGAGGGGTTGGAAATGAAAGCAACACCTGTTGCTTTGCATTGAATGGGCAAAGTGCAGGTTTACTTTAAGTTAGCTTTAGTTAGAAAGTGCAAACATGATCTGCACATTGTTGTTACCCACAGAAACCAACCAATCAGGTCTCACTTATCTGCACTTTAGGGCAGTCAGTGTGATTGGTTGTCATAGGGTGCTGTGCTTTGCAAAATATTCCTTTTTTCTTAAAAAAAAAGCCAGTTATTTTGTTATCGCCATTGATTATTCAGATAAGAAATAACAGCTATGCTTTGCATTGTTGAAAATAATCTACAGCCTCTTCAAGCTCATACTTGTACGGTATATTTAACTTCATTGTGAAGCTGTTTAACATATCTGTTGGCAGAACCTCTTAACCATTCCACTTCTGAGCATAACATATATTTTCTTTCTCATTAAAAAAAGGACTTATTCCCTACTGGTGAGAAAGTTCCAGAGAGAGCTATTAAGGCTGAGTTTAGAACTACATTATGAGGAATTTTTAAATTTGCCTCCTCGTAGGATTCTCAAACAAATCATCTGTTAGCAAATGTCTTTAGTTTTTCATTTTTTTTTGTAAAAGTAGAAAGCATACATGGATTTCCCTGGAAGCCTGATTTAGCAAAATATTTGAATGATAAGTTGAGTAAAACCATTAAATGTGCTTGACCTGGTCTGTGACACAATACATTTTCTCAAGCTCATAAAGTCAAACTGCATTGTGTCTTCAGCATCTATTTTGAATTATATATAGTGCTTACAGTGTGTGTTTTACAAAATAAAGGGAGACAGTACAGTTAATCCATAAGTGATACAAAGTGTAGTAACTGTGTCAGGGATGAGCTGGTGGAGAGAGTAAAAGTACAGCTTCCCTGTAGAGGTACCTAAAGGCGTACAGAGTAAGAAATAGCTGTACAGTTTGGGGTAGGGAGTTCCAGAGGGTGGGGCGGGTGAGCGTCTGGAGAAGTCCCAAGGGCGAGCATGGGAAGAGGTGATGAGAGAACTATAGAGAGGGAGGTCTTGGGAGGAGCAGAGTGGAAGGTGTGGGTGATATTTTGCGACAAGGTTGGTTATATAGCTTGTAGCGACATAGCTATAGTTGTGAATGGCTTTGTATGTTGTTTGTACTTTATTCATTGGGCACGTGGAAGCCTGTGGAAAGATTGGCAGAGGGAAGCAGCAGATACTGAATAGTAGATAAAAGTGGCA